TTTTAAAAACATTTGGTATAAGAAACCATTTTCCAGAAAAATGTAGAAACCAAATAGCTATTCACGTATAAAAATAATAATGAAACATAATAATAGTTTTCGATCCATGTCAAAAACAGGAAAACCTACAATTATCTTTTATTATTAAAAAAAGTTATTTTCGCTTGAAATAGGATGGTGCTTTCTTTTGCAACGTATAAAAAGGTTCATATTAAAAACAAACTACATAAATGACTTGCCCTTCCTAAAAGAGCAATAAAATGGGGAAATAAGTTATAAGGTTTCAATTTTATGAAATTTTTTTTTTTTACTATATTTTAGAAATAAGGAGTATTATTGAAATTGAATTTTTCACACAAAAAATGAAAAATCTTTCCATGCGATTTACAAGGTGGACTGGACTATGTAGTTGGATACAAGAAAGTCACACAAACTATTGCGGAATATTTAAGCTGTGAAAGAAACCCCAGCTGTAACCATTTGATAGCTGTTTCAATAATCATCCTTTTCTTAGCCAAGAATTTTTCACCGCTATAGAAAAGTAGGATTTCTATACCATTATTTTGAGTCTGTCTTCGACAAATAAAAGGAGGGTGTAAAGAAATATCCGGGGAAGATATTTTCTCAAGCAGTTACTTTTTTTAGGTAAGCCTCAATTCATTTTGAGGGATCACAAGATATGTGTAAAAATGCTTCTTCAGCCTATGAGAAATCGAGTTCACCAGAACTTTGATCTGCAAGCTCAGTTATAGAACGTCTGTTTTCAAATTTACTTTTATCGAAACTCACCAGCAGAGAATAAAATAAAATATTCTCAACGGCTTTTGGACTTAACTTGTTGAACAAAATCTGAAATAATAATTTTAACCTAGCTATTGTATCAGTAGTTATCACAAGACTTTTAAAATCTCAAACAGTGTAAAAGGACATAAAGATTTTCAAAAAGTTTCATAAGAAAGAATGATTAAAAAGTAAGACGTAACTAAATTATTGAAGATTTAAGGTGACAAGTGAAGAGGTAATCCTTCTCAAAATATAATCTCCCATATAACAAATATTAGCTATTTATTTTCCAAAATAAAATAATGAGTTAATTATTTGTTATTACATAAAAAATTATTACTAACATTTGATTATTTTCCAAGTTATTAATACAATACAATAATTAATACAAATTTAAATTTCGCAAAATTTATTAATCACTTACGTTTTTAATCAATTAGTAGTCATTCAATTCAATAACGGATCAAATTTTTCAATCCAGTTTGGTTGGCAGGTTAATTTTTTATAATATTTAAACTAACAAAGGTATAGCTTAAAGAACAAGACAAAATATAGGGCTCAGGTTCAATATTTATCGAAAATATATTTAAAAAAAAGTGTTCGGAAAATAAAATAAGCGTTAATTTTAAAGATTCAACTTATTAAAAACGCTTATAATCTACATCATTTTTAAACACGTTTTAAAAATTTAACTTCAGAGTTGTGAGACATTAAATTTCAGCAGATTAAATGTATGCTATTTTTGAATTTGAATTTTATAATCTATGAATTCAATACAGGTTTACTATATAATTAAACAGACTTTATCATACTTGAAGAATTTTGGTTCAACCACCGCTTTAAAGCCCGTCCAGCATCAGATTGATGAGTATGAGCTTGTCTAGAAAGTAAAGGCAGTCGGTGCGCAATGCTGATCATATTGCCACCATTATGCAGTTGGTCACGAAATAGTCGAGCCTTAAACTCCATGACTCACTGGAATGGCTTACCTTTTATCATATTTTATCATTTCACATATTTTATCATGTATATCTAACTAGTATTTATCAAATAAATATTAAGTACATAACTTTTAAAGAGAAATTTTAATGAGTATCAAGATTTTTCGAGATCGTTTTTTCTTGAGTAAATATACTTTTTTTTTTAATTTTCCTTCATTTTTTAAAACTAACAATAATTTTTAAAAATAGTTAAATTGAAATAAATTCAACTCGATAAAAAACTTCCTAATAATTTTTACTATAACAAAAATCCAATCAACTATTTTTTCTCACTTATTTAATTTTACGTACTGTGTGGCAAAATGATGATAAAATAGTAATGATTTAAAGAATTGAAACTTGGTAAAACGCATTAAAACTTCTTCAAGCTAGGTTCTTAAAACGAAGAAGTATTATTAATTTTATTAAAACTTTTTTGAATGGTTTTTTAAGATGTTTTATTAAATATTCAAAATAATAATACTTGAACTTTCGAGCTAAGCTATCAAACAGGTTTTCCCATACTAAAATTTAATCTCAGCAATTTAGAAGTATAATTTGAACATGCTAATAACGTAGTGCTTTACAAAATAAAAAAAAAGTTGGGAAATTAGACACAACTATAAACGTATTTTCTCTAAATAGACATAATTTTTTGTTCTTTTTCGCATATTCAACCTATAAAATATTACTTGAAATTTAGATGATATGATCTTAATATTTTTGCCACTCCTATAAATAATTTGGACTACCAATTGTAATTTTTGAGTTTTTCATTACATCAAGCAAGTTATTCTTAATGAACTTTTATTGATTTGATGTATAAGCGGTATACTATAATTTTTATGAGAAAACGCTAGATAGTTTATATTAGGGAGCAAGTAATTGCACTTTGATATTATCAACTAAACATTTTTAAAAAAGACAAAAGTTTAAAGTATTTAAAGTTTTACTTAATGCTAGCACCGAAGAGCCATTACATTATAACCACCCTGCTAATAACATGTAGGACCACCTTTAGCCATCAAAACTGCTAGCACCTGTTGTGGCATTGATTCCACAAGGCGCTGATAGGTAGTCTGAGGTATCTGGTACCAAGAGCTCAGCAACTGGTCCTGCGATTCCCTCACATTGCAAGGGGGCAGCGTAGCAGTATGAGTTAGGTTTTCCAGGCAGGATCACAAATGCTCTATTGGATTAAGGTCAGGTGAATTTGGGGGCCCAAGACATGATTTGAAAGTCACTGGAATGTTCCTCAAACCAATCCATGACGATTCGACGATTATGGTGCATTATCGTGTCGGTAAACACCATCCCCCGCAGGAAAAACTGTTGCCATGAATGGGTGAACCTGGTCTGTAACTATGTTCAAGTAGCTTACAGACGTCAGGGATTGTTCTATGAGGATTATAGGTCCTAATGTGCCCCATGAAAACATTGTTCCCGGGCAAGAAACCATGAAAACTTGGACGAGCCCATTGATATAGATGGAGGGTGGTCATAATGTAATGGCTCTTCGGTGTATATATACACATATGTATATGCGTACCTTAACATTTCCGGGCATGGGTTCCAATGAAAATACAATCCCGATGATGTGCTCTAACTCCCCTAGAAGTTTGTCATAAACTTTATGCGACTCCCATTATATATATTTATATATAAAGTTATATATAAAGTTTTTAAACTTGTACCTTTTGACAAAAATAGACTAATACCATGATTTTAAAAAAAACTGTAGCTTTAGGAGCATAACTAATTTCAGATTTTAACACCTCACACCTGAATCAGGCAAGATCACTAATTTGTATTAAGATCAAGTATGCTACAAAAAATTAATTCCAAAGAGTAATAAAAAAACGAATTAAAATGCTTTTTTTTTTAAATCAATCAACAAGGAAATGAAAAAGTTAACCAGTCGAAGAATAAATGAAGAAGCGAATGTTACTTCATTTGTGCATTAGAGAATCAATGAACAAAAGAGTCAAATTAATAAGTCAACGCACCAATGAAAAGAGAATTAATGAATGAGAGAATCAATATATTACAAGCGAATTACATCAATTCACTAAATTATCAATTAATTTATTCACCCTTTTATTGATTCACAAATAGATTTATTGATACATTCATTTATTTGCTTGCTGATACATTTATTCAGTAATTCATGTATAGGCCCATTCCTTAATTTGCTGATTCATGTATTCAATGCATTAATTTATTAAGCCATAAATTCATTAATTTGTTCTCCAACTGAGTCATGATCATACGAATTCACTTATCTGTCATTGAGAAGATGTTTAAAAAATGTTAGTAAATAGATTTAAAAAAAACAACTAAATTGCTTGAGTATTAATATTTTATCAATTGTATTTCGCTAAGTATTTGTATGTTTATTAGCATATTTAACGTTAATTATATATTTGAACTCATGCTATATAGCTCACATTCAATTCTATAAAATATCATCTTTTTTTAAATTCCATTTTTTTTTCCAAAAACTTTTATTTAGATAAAATGGTTTTTGTTAATTACAAAAATCGTTTGATAATATTTATGAATTATTAAGAAACTTACTACTCAAGTCATTTTAAGATATGCATATTTAAATATGCACACGTAAACTATTTTTATAAAACAAATTTTGCATACATTTTTCATTATTTTGTATATTAATTTAGACTGAACTAAGTGAAAATTGTATTCAGAATTTTGATAATTTATGGTTACATAATACAACATGAGACATAGGTGTCTTTTTTGTGTTACTTCCAAACACAGCTAACTTCCAAATAATAATTTTTCTAATTTGCACTTTAGATCAAAGAGAAACTGTTATTCTTCATTAAAAAATTTTTAATTTACAAAATTTAAATTTTTTATCTTCAATTTAAATTTTTTTGATACATTTTTTAATATGACTAAAATGAAATTCTTTTCAAATTACTTTTTTTTAAATTTTATATTTTAGTACAAATATAATTCTGATTGTCTAACAAATATTTTTAGTAACTATTAAACTGTTTTTTAAGAGTAAAAAATACCAAAATATATTTTTACTTGTAATTAGTGCATCATAAAAATATATATATATATAAGGGACAGCAGTGTCCCATCTGTGTCAAAGGGTTAATATTGTTTATTTTTTCATTCATTTTATTTATTTATCTTTATTTATTTTTACATATTTACAATAATTAATATAAATTTATCCACTCAAAAATAAGAGATAATAACAAACTTTGCATAATATTTATGATCTAATGTAAATCAACATATTAATCTAAGCATTACAATTATACAAGCAAGAAAAATAATTTAGAAAGATTATAATTCAAAACTATGCTAGTAGAACTGACATAGATAAATAATTCTTTTCTGTTAAAAAGAATATCATTTTATTGAAAATTAATAGCGAAAAAAATACACTTATAGACTATTAACTGAAGCAGACATTTCATAAAATAAATAATTTCTTTATTTTAACTCTACGTAGGAAAGTATATATGATACAAATTTTAATAATAAATACAACACATTACTCTGCTTCAAAAACAAGTATTTGACAGGATGAAACCGGATAAAAAACATTACAGAAAAGTTTTTCACAGTGATATTGTGATATCAGAAAATATAGTTTTCTCTTTATGCTGAGACCCGATTTCTGTCATGATATCAGAAACAAGCTGAAATGGAAAAATAAACATAATTAAAATAAAAAAAATTTAATATTTTGAGACAAAAATTATCAAACTTCAAATTCCAAACATGCATAATTTTGCAAGATTATTTTTCAATGATAGATTGGTAGAATGCAATATAAAACAGCACAAGCTTGATTAGTTTAAGAGTGACAAAAAATGTAATGACATTTTGCATTCAATGTGACAAAATTTAATGATGGTTTATACTAAGTCAGACACAATGTTTAATTCAAAAGAGTTAGTCTTAACTATACTGCAACCAAACATTAACAGTAATATGAACTAACAGTAAAGAAAATTAAAGGAACGCAATGAATATTAGAAGGGCTGCCTATTAACCTAGAACAATGAGGAAAAATATAAACAGAACGCTCCCAAACATGTGCTCAATTAATTATTTTACGCAACTATTTTTAAAGTCATTCGATAACTAAATTAGATTTGTAGAAAGATGAGAAATATGGTCCAGTAGTAGTACTTTATTTACATTGCACTAGGGCTGTACAATGGACTCGGCAACGATCTGGGAAGCATCCCTGAGGATGACCCGAAGACATGCCATCACAATTTTGATCTTCTGCAGATAGGATATTAATAAAAACAACCACATCTTTTGAATAAAAACCTCCTAGCATAGAAACATCTTAAAAACATCTACAGAAAAATCTCATTGAAAATATTAATTCAGATAAGTAATAAACAAAAAAGAATTAAAAGAAAAAGAGACATAAACAAAATATCAACAAAACATAAATACAAAACCTTAAGCACAATCACAATTAGCAAATTTTTTTCTCTTACATTAATATTTAAAAGTGAAGTAACTTTTAAAATTGTAAAAAAAATATCGACAGGCTTTAACATTTTATAGATAAATTTAATTTAAATTTATTACATTTTATTTCACAGATTAAGTGATTCAGCTTTGTAACCTCACTTAAAAAATGAACTAAAAGTGTTCCCTTTTCTAAAGAAAATACTAACATTTTAAGAACTGGCAATTTTGCTTTACAGATTATAATTGAATGGGGTTCTTTCAAAGCTCCTTCCGCCTTCTTTACGCATAAAGAAATCTCTAGTAGTTGCATTTTTGCACTGGATTAGGTGACCAGACATAATCTGTTCATAATGCTGTATTGGTCAATGTAATTTCAATTTTTCAATATTTTTGAATTTATTTATGGTAATTTTATACTGAAAATTAAAAGAATAATAATGATTTTTATTTTAAAAAATAACATTAAAAATTGGAGAAATTAAATATCAAGTTTTAAAAAAAATAATCTAAAAGTAACCAGTTTTTGTAATTCAAAAAAGTTTTAGACCTATACAATAATTTTTGAAGTAAATATACTCAATATTAACTTTCTGATAATCTGTTTTTTAAGTCTTTTTTGATTATGCATATTTGTGTTATATTTTCCAAATTGCATAAACCATTTATATACAGAAAAAAGTTATATTTCAAATACTAATTCAAATATTTACTTATTAACTATGCCAACTTCAAATTTTTATAAATAATTGATTTTAAATTACTTTCTTGCTAAATTGTTCACAACTAACATTTATACTAAAGAGATGCAAATTTGGCAAATTGTTTTGCAGAAAAAAAAGTAATTTTCATAAAAAAGAATAAACAATAATATATTAAAAGAAAATCTTTAGTAAGTACTAGTAAATGATTGTAGAATAATAAAATAAGAACTTTAATAGGAATGTTAAATGAATTAATTTTTTTTTAAGATTCAGTATTACTTTATATAAATCGCTAGAACTAAAAAAGATGCAAAAATCCACAAACTTGTTTTGCTTCGTTCTTGCTTACATCACCACGGCATAGTATTAAAGCAACTAATTGTTCTAGAGTAACATCAGGATACTGACGAATAACACCCTAAATTAACAAAAGAAGAAAAGCATTTATTTAAAAAAAAAATTAATAAATAAAATTATTACATTTAAAATAATACTTTTCTTTAATCTGTATAATGAGTTTGTAGTACATTGTGAAATATTAATATAAAGTACTTGTATAGAGCAAAAAGGGTTGCTTTTCAATTGTTCTTTTATATGAATATAACTTTTATAACATCGAAATTATTTATCTCATTGACTCAAGATTTGTCTCATTCAATTTAGCTCACAATATACATGGCAAGTTATACTTTATTTTTCCAGATCGAGCTGTTAAATGCATATATAACTACTAGTCAAAAATAGTTCTTTTTATACATAAAAAACCATGCAACTTCTGAACTATGAGTTCAATTGACTCATGTTTGGTTTCCATCCATTCAGCACAAAAGAGTATATAAGAAACAATACATCCTTTAAATAACATACTAGGAACAAGTACAAAATCTGACTTTTTATACATAAAATCCTTATAACTACTAAACTATTAGTCCCATCATTTTAGGTTCCGTCTCATAGAGAGCAAAATAAAAAAAACACATCAAAAATAGTACTTCATGTGACTAAACAACAGTATGCAACTATCTCCTTCCATTTACTCCCTTTACCCTTTTTGCTAAAATGTAACATACAAGTTCTGACTATGAGAAGAGTATTTGCCTCAAGTTAGAATATCTCTTTTAGATGTCCTTTTACATCCTGTTTAGCTGTATTAGCTTGGTTTATGAAAATAACTCTACGTAAAATTAAAATAAACTGGAAAAAAAATAGAGACACAACAAGAAATAATTCATGTTTGTAAATGATATATCACAATATTGCCTAGCTCTAATTACTAAGTGAAAATTGAATATACATTTTATAGACAAAGATAATTTTTAAAAACAAACATAGCATTGCATCATAGCTATAAGAATTTATCAAAACAAAGAAATAAGTAAAATAAAAAATTAAACTAACAAAAGTTTAACATTGCATTTTCAGTAAATACATTACATTTCAAAAATTTTCAGTGAGGTTAAAATGAAAATAACGTACGGAAATTTCCAGTGAAAGCATGCTGACATCTTTCAGTTTTATTACTTCAGCTAAAAGTGGTACTGCTTCAAATGGAGATTCCTTCTAAAAGTAAAAATTATCATATAAGACTTGAAAAATACTTTTTTTACATATTAAATAAAAAATATTATGAAATTTTATTTACTTGCTCAGTGGGCCCAAACTTTTTAATAATATTTTCTAAAGTTATTTTTGCATCATAATAGGCTCGTTTTTTGACCACAGAATTAAGCTGAAATAAAAGATCAAATAACATCAATTTCAATAATCAGAAAAATAGTATGAAAGCAAAATAATAAATACATTTTATTGAAATTGTTAATTAGCTTGAACATAATTTCTGATTATTGATTCGGGTTCTAGATTTGGTTCCTAGGTGGTGCACAAGGTGTATTTAACAAATCTACATGTATACCCCTGATGGCAATCATTTTTATGTACTTTTGAAAGAGTTACATCACAAAAGATATTTTCACGTCACGCAAGTACTTTTTTTGGTATTAGAATATTTTATTGTAACAAAGTAATTTTGTTTAAACAAATAAAAATTAGTAACCGAATATGTAAGTGGACACCTTAATTAACATTTCAATAAAAAAAAGATTAGTTTTGCTAATTAATTAAAAAAATTAAGTTAAAAAAGTTAATTAAGAAGTTCTGATATTCTCTAATAAACATCAAACCTAAAAAGCTAGTAGAGAAGATCTATAAAACACAATTCTATAAACGACGATTCCCTATAAACTGCATTAACTTTGCACTCTCTAAAGCAAACTAAAAACTTATGAAATTTAACTGCTAATACTCCTGAAAATTTCAATTTTTTTTTAAATAGCAAAAAACGTGCATATTTTTGCATTTTAAAATATTTCTATTTACAATTATTTTAAAACATTAATATTGATCCACTCGACATGAAATTAAAATGCCACAGTAAGTTTAATAATATGGGAAATGATATACTATTTAACATATTGAATTCTATAAAACACAAAGTATTTCACGATTTGAGTTATAAAGATTTTCGACTAGTGAGTTTCAAATCTGCATTGGTATAACTAATGGAATGTCATGCAGGGTGCTGTTCTGTAATACGAATAAATTGCAGTTTTTTTTTTTCCAGATCTATCCCATTTTACAAGAATTAAAAACAAATTTTGGCAAAAAAAGTCCTTGGTTGATGAAAGACAATTTGATATTCTATTTGATATTTGTTATTTTATAGATATTTTTAATTTCTGATACATATGATCTTTCATTGTTTGACTGTTTAAAAACACATAGTGCCATGCAAAATTTTTAGGATTATAATGTTTTGAAATTACTTTCTTTAGATGCTTTTTTAAGGTATTTTACAATTGAAATAATCCTTCAACATTAGTTACAAATTTCATGTTTGATTAAATACATTTATCAATAATGAATGTTGCGTGTTTTAACTTTTAAGATGAGTTTGTGTAAATATTTTAATGTCACACTTTTTTATTTATCAGTTTTTTGTTTGTTTTTATATCTACTTTAAGTTTTTAAATAAATATACGATAGAACCGATTAATCATTTCTCCTGACACCATTCATTGCAAAATAATAATGCAGGAAAACAGAGGATTTAGGGGATTTAGGGTCAACATAAAATATCAAATATTGACTTCAATATGTGTAAAAAAAATAAAGTAATAGACTTGAAAAGTAATAAACTTACAATTAGTATAAAAAGTTTCAATTGAAAAAATTACGTACTTACTGCAGAAATATTTGTGATGCAAAAGAAAGATGAATAAACACATTTATTAAAAATATTTGGAAATTTTGGTTTGAAAATAAATTGTTTTCTACTCAGTACCAACAATAAATTTTCGATATATGTAACAGATTGCTGTTCATTTTGTGTAAATTCATGTGAATACAGAATTTTCCTCGTTGTTTAAAAGGCTTCAAGGCCTTCATAAACCTTAACACTGATTGTGATTCCATTTCGCCATTTTCATCGCATTTACGGACTTAATGAGCTACACAATCATATCTGTAAATGACAACATATTAAATCTCAACATTTTCATCAAATGATGCATCAAAATCAAAGGTCAAAATTAAATAATTTTCCCTGCAGTGTAACAAATTCTCATTTTCTTCTTCTTCATTGGCATCAGGAGTTACTCTTTTTCTACCTCAAAAGAAAATAACTTCAATTTTTAATATTCATCTTACTTTTTTCTTTAAATGTTGATAGAATTTCTAAATGATAGACGGAGAGAATAACTAGTTTCAAAAATGATCTAATCGGTATTATTAAGAATAACATTTGAGATGCAAATGTCTAAACAAGATATGTATGAGAAAATGTGAGATGCAGGAAAAATGGATCAAAGTTTGAATGACTTTTGTTGCAAATGACTTTTATTGCATTTTTTTTTTAAAAAAAAGAATACATTTTCAATTAATTTTTAAAACATTATTTAAACCATAAATTTTAAATATCAATTGCAAATATTACCTTTAACAAAATCTTTAGTACTAAATATATTTCAGTAAACTATAATCTTCTATTGAAATCATTTGCAAAAATGTTTCACCTAAATTAACTCTATCAGTTAAAAGAAAATGCATTTATAACTCTTGGCAATTTTCTTAGTAAAATTTAATGATTATTTTATTAAACTAATATTAGCAAAATAAAAGAAAACAGCATGTATTATAGTGACCAATATATACAAACTGTGTGCAATATATACAAACTGTGTGTTATGCTTTATTTAACTTAAAAACGTGATAGCTGTAACAAAAGATATATTTAAAATTAAACTAAAGCTTGAGAAACCAAAAATTATCAGATATTAGCAAGTAAACAGCATTAACATAACACATTATTTTAATAGTAAAGGTCAATTAATAAACTTGTTTTTATTGATTTTTACAAGGGAAGATAATATGATGTTTTGTAATAAACACAATTGCAAATCATATAAAAGAAAAGTAATAAGATTATTTTTATAAAAACAAATCACAGTCAAATAATCACATTGACAATTTTTTAATTCTAAAGTCTTGGAATGAACAATTACTTACAGTCAAATAATAATATTTTCATCTCTTATAATAATTTTTTTAAGATTATAGAAACTGAGAGATGTGAAGTAAGAGTTTTGAATTCAAGAAATCATGTGACTTAAGAACTTAATATAAACTTAAGAAAATAGAAGGTCATCCTTGAGTAAACATTAAATAAAGAAAATTAAAGTTACTTGATAACAAACACTACAGAAAATAATATTAATGATACAGAAAAAATGAAAATAATGCAAGAGTATAATTTTTACCAACACCCACAATAGTTATGATCAAAAATAAATTACTTAGTTTGGACTTACTCTTTTATTAAATGGTGCACGCTGAAATAGTTGTTGAAGTAGTTTTCCTTCATCACACATTTTTTCAGATGCCTGTTTTCTTTCTTCATATGTTTTGAAGCTCATTCTTCTGCAAGAATATAAAAGAATAAATTATATTACAATTCAAAATATACCCCTTTTCAAGTAAAAAAAAAATTAATGAATCATTTTATTTTTGATATCAAAGTTACTTTTAAAATTGCGCTTAATTAATCTTACTAGAGACTAAATTAAACATAAGCATTTTTATAATTATTTCAATTCAAACACTACATGAAATATTTTACATGAATAATACTCTAAATATTACCTCTAATAATATTATACTTAAAAATATGATTACACAAGTTTATAGTAATGGGAAAAAAATTTGCTACAGGTTAAATTACACATATTTTGTTATACACATTATCTAAAACATTTTTGAAGAACAGTTTATGTTAGTAGGTATATTAAATAAAAAAAATTTTTACAAATCATATGACTACAAATATTATACAATGTCTACAATCATGGTACACTGAAATACTGATACATAAAAATTCCAAGTGATTCAAATAAGTATTGAAATAACTTATTATGTATAATAAATTTCATAGATCAAAACACATTTAAATTCATAAATATATGTTAGGCAAAAAGAAATTTGATTCCTCATAACATATTTTTATTGTAAAGGTAATAAACATACAAGATTATGTTTGAATATTTCAATCTTTGATATTTATAAAAGTTTTCACCTTTAGTAGCTCATTACAAAAGACATGCTTTTTTGATAATTACCTTGTATAAATTGCATATTTAAAAACAACTTTAAAATTAAATGCAACTTTTTAAAATTGTTTAGAGTTTTGAAATGTTTTATTTTCACTCCTTAGTATAAGCCAAAAATTATTGCATTCTTGATTTCTGAGTCACTTCTCTCTTTTCTTAATTTTGATACATTTCATGTAATGAATTTATTGACAAGCAAGTTCAGCAATTTACTTAGATTACATTATTAAACAATTTCATAGACATTATAAAGTGCTTAAGAATCTAAGTTAAAAAGAAATTTGAAAGGAGATCTATATATCATTTATAACAATTTATATAACAAAGCACTAAAAATTATCATTTAAACAGCAAAGCAATACAAAGTTTATATGAAGAATAAAATAATATGCTATAAAAAAGGCATCCAATCAGCAGGAAGTGTAACTATTTTAAAAATAGATTGAGTTTTAAAGTATATTTATTGATTTCTTAAAAGAAATACAACAAAATATAACTTCTTAGCGTTCAGTTTACATGAATATTGTAGATAATATAAAGCTGATCAACCTTATATTATTAATAATAATAAATGGTTGACAAGTTAATTAAATAAATTCAAATACTTTGAAAGTCCTTAATATTTAAATATGATTGTTAAAATACATTTTTAAAACTTAATTGAAAATTATTAATATTAGGATAAAATTAAGTAAGAAATTGCACAATATTTTTATAAAAGATTTATATGACTTCGCATAATTTGAATAAGCAACTTTTATATATTACTGCAATCAACTTTTCTAAAATACTGCATGCAATTTTCATAAAGCACAAACTTATACTAAGCAACTTTTGCTTCACAATAATTTTAAAACTAATAATCAAAATATTCTTAAGTTGATGAGCATACTTTTGAAGCACAGAGTAGATGTAATTTACTGCAATCCAATTCATAACGTCAGTAATTAATAAGTTAAAGTTTTCTGGCAAAAGGTGTGTGTAGTCTGCTCCATAATCTTCTAATGTAGCATGAATTGTATCTACAATTTGAGTCCCTGAGAGAAGCCTACAAAAAACCAATGAAAATCTCATATTTATAGATATATTTTTATTTTTAGAAAAGATCTATTTCCTTTAACACTTGATAAAAAATCAGAGATTAAAAAATTTCAAAAAATTACACTTCCAAAACAAATATTTTAAATAATTAAATAATAGTTCAATATTTTTTCTTTATTGTTTTAACAATATTTCAGATGAAATTATAATTCAACAAGTATTAATTTGATAGCAAAATTATTTCTATTTGTTCATCACACAATGAAAAGCAAATAGTAATAGTTTTGAAGAAAAAAAAAACTTAATACATAAGGTACTTTAGTGTGTATTAATCTCTTCAACTTAACAAGGAAACATTTTGTGCATGCGTGATTTAGAAAAAATAAAATAAAATGGTGTCAGAGAAAATGTTAAACAAAAAACAATAATAATTTGTCTCACAAAATAAGATATATCATTAAAAAAAATGTAGAACTATTTACAAGAGTGAAACATTAATAAAATGTAAAAAATAAATCTTCCTTTTTTTTCAAATAAAAAAATACTATTAATGTGTAATTCTAGTCTAAATAAACATTTTTGGAATAATTATAAAGCACTACTCATATATTTAATACATATTTGTAAGCACTATAGGATATAAACCACCAATAAATCCTAACTATGGAAAGATTATTAAAATCTTTATTAACATTAACAATACCTCCACAAACAGACAAATTTGAGAGATTTCTTCTCTATTTACTTTTCTCAGTTATTTCAATTTATTTCTTCTCAATTATTATGACATGTTGAGAACTGATTTGCAAAGTAGAAAAAAAATATTACTTTCTACATGCAAGATCATTACAAGAATAAAAACAAAGTTAATATGAATTTGTAATGTTTTAGTACATAATTGCATTTTTATAATAACTAAGTTAAATGTATATGAATTCAACGTACCATGTACGAGTCATTACTTCATTCAAATTACTACTCAAGTCCATAAAAAGTTCTTCCCTCAAACACTTCAATCTAAAATAAACAACACATATGTAAAACTAAAAACAACAATTTAAAAAAAAGCTAATTTTGAAATAGTATAACTATATTTTTATTTATTATATTTTAGTTACATTATTATTATATACCTATGACAACAACAACATTATTATTACATTTTAAAATTATATACTTCACTAATAAAAGTAAACATTTATCAATTCGTTAAACAATTTCAAAGAATCAGCTGATTATTTTGAACTACCAGCTTGGTGAATATAAAGGAGTTACTCCTGAAATAAATATATTTACTTTTAAAAAGAACAACAAAAAAATAAAGTATTCTCACAACAGCCAGTTATCGGCCAGGAGAGTCATAGAGGTTATCATTCCACAAATTTGAGACCACTGCATGATGGCGTCAATATGATCAGTGCATTGTCCGCCAGTTACCTTAACATCCCAGTAAAGCTAGCATTGTTTCACATGAAGGTAAGCTTGAAGCCTAAAGTCATCAACTATGATAGAACTCGAGTCCTAAACAATGTTATCTCAATGACTCCCCTACGCCATTAAAGATTTTAAGAAATAAGATATATTCATTCTTAAATATAAGATAATCATAATATACAATTACTATGATGAAACAAAGTTAAGTTTAATTTAAAGAATACACTCAATGTTTAATAATTAATATGTAAACTTGAAAAAAATACACATACTTATTTAATACAAATTAAAAGTGGAACTATGCATATTTTCCTGAAAATTTTGCAGATAAATGTTTACCAACATAATAACTGTAAATCAAAAGGTAAACATTTGAAAATGAAATCCTCTATGAAAAAATTGTGTAAATATTTAAAAATAAATCAACAAATGATACTTACACAACCATAATCAATTTCAAAAAAGCTTCAATTGTCCGACAAAATACTGTTTCAGCACTTTTTGAAATTACTGTAAGATCTTTGCAGTATCTTATCCTCAATTTATCAGCGAATTCGCAAAATTGAAGGCAATTATTAGAAGTTGCTATCTGTAAAATAAAAATAATAAGTAGCATTTGCTATTTGTAATTTAAAATGCTAAAACAACAGATGTAACTAAACAATAAATATTTTCAGTTTTAAGTAAACTATTGAAAAATCATTTACTTAAAAAAATTTCTACAAAATATAATAAAAATATTTAGTTCAAAAATTATGAAGTATGCTTAAAAAAATTAAATTTATTTGCTCTTGGTTCAAATCATGGAAATCAACTAAAAAAAATAAATTATTATTTTCAGAAGCTTTTGTTCTCTTTTTGGGCAATTTTTATCAAAAGAATAAAAAATTAAAAAAAATTTCAAATGGTCTAAACTTATTTTTCTTTTTATACGAAAATAAATTCTTTAGTACACTTTTTGAAACTTTTTTAATATAAATGCAAAATAAAAATTTAAACACTTATGCAGAAAAACAAAATGTTTATAACTAAAATAAACTTTGTTCAGAAGTTTATTTATTTTTTAGTAATAAAAGTACAACTTAGCTTGAAAATATGTCAATGGATCAGACTTTATAGTGTTAAATGAAAAACATGTTTTGATATCAGTTTATGTTATAAAATTCATGAAAAATGTATCACAATAAAAATGAAAATCTTGTATCTATCAGGTATGTAATCAGGGCTGAAATTTCTTCCAAAAGAATTTTTTCAAGACAATAAAATAAAATGGGGGAAAACAGAATAATCGGGACAAAATGGGTGAAATTAAAATAGACTGATACAATAAATTTAAATAAATAAATTTATTAAAATGTGAGAAAATGTTTTTAAAAAATTTCTCATTTCCTTCTTCATTTTTAAGAAAAACAACTATTTTCATATTAACCATTTATATTAATACATAGAATTTTAAAAGTTATATGACCTAGCATAACAATTTATGTTTCATTTAGATTTATAAGTTAACCTTATTTCCTTAATACATATAAAAACTTATATCTAAATTATGTGTACGCATATTGCTATTCGCATATTAATTTAATATTCTGTTTTGCAATAGAATTTTTTAAAAATTACTTTAGGATTTTTTTCTAGTGGTTAAAGTTTTTTCTTTTTTTAAACTTTAAGATATTTTTTAAGTGATTACAATTGGTTTTGCTTTTAAAATCTAGCATAATGAAATAATTTTTTTTTTTAATTTATTAACTTATTATTAACAGAATAACATGAACTAATGTTCTACTCTTAAGTCATATCATTAGTAAACCCTATATATAACACTTTGAGGCTAATTAAATGTGAAAACAAAAATTTCTATTCAATAATAATTTGTAACGCCGTTGAAAATTTCAAAGCTTTATTATTTAAGGGAAAAAATACCTTATATTCAAATAATCTTTTGTTTTTCACAATTTTCATATTAAAATATTAAAAAAAGCTCAAAAATTTTATTATTTTTTTAAAATTATGTACATCAGCAATAAAACATTTATAAATGAAAGAATAGTAAATTTTAATAAAAAATTAACAGTTAAAAATTAAGCTTAGATAATAAATTATAATTAACAAATAATTTCATGAATAGGTAGGCAAATAAAAAATTTGTTTGAAAATTATCTAGTTAGAAAAACCTTTAGCATATTACCTAATAATTGTTTCAAATAATCAAACTTAAACAGTGTTTAATTGGGAATGGTATTATACTTATAATTTGAATTATGATTATTATATAATTTGTTAATTTAATTTAATTTTTAAAATTTGTCTCTAATATTTTAACAGTTCTATACCACTATAAAATTTAAGTCTTACTATACTTTTTTATATACAACATTAAAAAAAAAATAATATGTTCTTTTAATTTCTTAAGAAATAAATCACATTTATTTTTCCTCCATATGGTTTTTTTTAGTTTTCACTTTTTTAAATATTATATATATTTGATATTAATACCATTATAATCTTTAAAAAATTGCGATTATAAAATGCTTAACAAAAATTATTTTAATATTTAATATTTCTTCTTAAAGAGTTTCTTCCATTTCTTCCACTTTAGTTGGATGAAACCTGTTTTGTTCCAGTCAATTTTTTGCAACAATGGAAGAAACATACCATACCTGCACACATTTATTTAAGTAAATATAATTAAATAAATTATATAAGAACCATGCCTTACCATATAAGAAGTAAAATATTTTACAACACTTCGATCTTCAAAATGTTTATTTCTGTAGGACATAATTGATTCTAAATAGGAAGAAAAAGAACAAAAGATGTAGAATTTTAAATTTTTTTTTAAGCATTTTAATATTTTTTTAAAAACCAATAAAAAAAATTCTAACCTTCATATGAACGAATAAATTCCAATACTTCTTCAAAACTAAGAAGCATCATGCTTTGCACAAGATCTTTACTTACAGTCTGAGCAACTTGCAACTGAAAAAAAACTCTAAATTTTGAACAAATATCAGAAAAAAATTTATAAAATTCAGATAAATTTTTAAAATTTTTTAAATGAAAATAAACACTTTGTTTTGTTTTTCAAAAGAATAATAAAAAAGAGACCAATAAAAACTTAAAAATAAAAAGCGAAGGAATATTTTTCAATCATGATGTGAGATAAAACTTTTATTTATTATAATAGTTGCTGAGAAAATTATTCCTTGATGGCAAGAAAGCAAAAATCTTAATAAGAAATAACAAGAAAAAAATATTTTTACTTTAATAATTCTTTAATTAAATATTTTCTTTCATTAAAATTTGAAAACTCATTTTTAGATGGCACAGTAATTTGTTGTATCTAATGACACTCGGAGAAACGAAGCTTATCAGCCATGGACCTTTTGGAGAATTAAGAAAGGAAGAATCAGGAAGGTGTGCCTTTTATTTGAGAAGAAAGCATCGCAAGGGTGAATATAAGTGTTAGCTGAGAACCTTACAGATATATGGAATCACAACTCATTCATGAGACCACTTCCTCAATTTAGACATAGATCTAAAGAGGAAGGAAATTTTTTCCAACATAAATCGTACTGCTCAGCGACTGACCAGAGGACTTTCAATTCCACAGATTTTATGTGCACATATATCGCATGCCCTCAGCGGAGTTGAGGATCAAGCTCCGGCCCCTCCAGAGCTTTGGCCGATTCTCTAACCACTGGGCTACCACAACCCCAGTAATTTAATATTGTGATTCAGTATTGGTCATCTCCCATCACATACTTGTAACGCAAAATGTAAATAATTTTATAAAACACTAAAAACACACTTACGTGCTGATCCAGCATATTGTACATAATGAGAGGTAGTTGTGTGTGAAAATAGCCACTTTCATCTTCATCTGGCCCTTCATGCTGATGCCAGTCCTAATATTACAATAAAATTGCATTTGTTGTTTGTTCAAATAAAACACAGTAGAACATCGATTAATCGTTTATCAAGTGACCATTAATAGGGAGCGATAGATATCAGAAAACATTGAATGCAAGTCAACAGAAGATATCAAATTATCAGTTAAAAAAGTATGAATTATAATAAATTAATACGTGTAAAAGTATAAAAAGTAATAATAAAAAGAGTAACACATTTACATTAGGTATAAAAATTTTAATTCAAAAAATTAGGTGATTACTGTAAAAATATTTACGATGTGAAGGAAAGATAAATACATTTCTTTAATATTTTAGAAAATTTTAAATTGTACATGCTCTTTTCTTTTCAGTGCAAGTAATAAAATGTAACTATGTAATGTAACTGTAATTGCCAAACGTTTTCTGCAAATTAGTTTGAATACAGAAAATTTCTCATACAGTCAAAGGCCTTGAGGCCTTCCACAAAGGTGGCATTGATTATGATTCGGTTTTTCTGTATTCCTCATTATCTATTGCATTTCTTTGGTTTCTGCAACCATTTTTATTATCAACATCACTCCACAAGTTTCACGATTTTCATCAACTGATGTATGAACACCAAAAGTGATGTTTTTAGTATTTCACTAAAATCCACATACTGTTTTCCTTCTCAAAACAAAACAAAAAAACTTCAAATTTTTTTTTTTAATGTCAGTAAAATTTCTGGACCATGAAAGTGGGAATGCTCTAGTTTCAAAAACGATCTAAACGGGAAATATTATCTTTATAAAATAGCACTTGCAACTGAACCATAAAAACAAGACAATACATGTGGGAAAATGAAAGATGCAGGAATGATGGATCGAGGTTCAACTGTATAAAAGTTATAAGTATACACAGATATTTTAAACAAAACTCTTATATATTATAAAATAAGTCATTAAGTAAGTTTAATTTCAAATCATTATGACCTAAACATAGTTTTGATATTGTCAGAGAAAATTAAAGCATTGAAGCATGACTTACTTTAACATCTGTAGCAAGGGCATTTTTCATCCAGTCACGATAATTTCGCTTAACATTGTAAAGGTACCTGAAATTTTATAATTTTTTAAAAAAACTAAATGATAACCATTATTAAAAAAAGTTAAGATTAAAAAAGTAAGATAACATACCATTTTTTTTTAAATAAATTAGACAATAAATAGCAAAAATGTTAAAAACTACTAAAATTGGAAATAAAATTATTTTAAAGTAAATCTAGTCGGATCTTTTAAACTTAGGATGGCAATCAGATAAAATAAAATATCTAAAAGAAATAAACATTTTTTTTTTAACTGATGCAACAAAAAAATTTAGCATTATATGCTAACTCAGACTTCAATTAACTACAATTATTCCTAATTATAGCAAATATATGATATAAGCTCTTCACAATTCAACACAAAACTATCATCCTACATTGCACCAGTTGTTCGATGACGTGCAGCTCAAAGAATTACAAAATTTTAAAAAAATGCTTGAAATAAGTAAAAATATCACAAGATTAGCACAACGCTATTGAATGATTATGATAAATCTTTGCATTTAAGGCTAGCTATTTACCATTTTTAAAGTTGAAGAAAAAGTCAATGACTTCAAAATCCTATTTAGCAATGATTCCTTGTTTTAAGTCAAGAACAAAACATAACTTCAGAAGATGTTTAGCGTTAGAAAAAAAAAGACAAAAAAAAACTTTTAAGACTTAAACAAAACAAAAAGACTTAGATAAGCTTAAAACTTGTTACTCACTGATTAACAAGACTATTTATAACTGATGTTTCTAAAAGAGGTGGCAATTTTGACACATCAATATTGAGATCAGGATGTCCAAGCATTTGTGAACTCCTGTAATCATGAGAAAAGAATAGTTATTAATAACCTATGCAAATTTTAAGAATACTTTAGAATATCAAATAAAATACAGGGAAAATTTTATTATTTATTAATATCACTTCACTTGTTCACTGCATTTATTAAAAAGAATCTATTTAAAAAACAAATACAAAACAGTGAGTATATATTATTTTATTTTTGCTTGCTTAAGATGAGAAAATAATTTTTATTTTAAAAAAATTTTAAGTAAAGAAATTATAAGTAAGAATTTAAAATTTATTTAAGAATTTTAAGACGAAATTTTTAGACAAAAAAGTTAATAACTTTTAGACGAAAAAAAAGTATACAAATATATAATGGCAATTTAATTGACAGTCACAGCAATCACAAAAATCAATTGTTTTAGTAATTTTTTATATATTNCAGATTGAACATTTGTATTGTTGCACATATTTTTCTCTCGTGTGATAGAGGCATAAGATGAGAAAATAATTTTAATTTTAAAAAAATTTTAAGTAAAGAAATTATAAGTAAGAATTTAAAATTTATTTAAGAATTTTAAGACGAAATTTTTAGACAAAAAAGTTTATAATTTTTAGATGAAAAAAAAGTATACAAATATATAAAGGCAATTTAATTGACAGTCACAGCAATCACAAAAATCAATTGTTTTAGTAATTTTTAATATATCAATAAAAAATAATTTTAAATTGTGAATGCAATTTTTAATTTCATTACAAAAAAAAATTGATATTATTAACTCAAAAAAATGATAACAGAAACTAATACTCAAATGAAGAAATTTCTAATACTTCAAAAATTTTGCAGATCCTGCACTTAATATTTTTATTGTTATAAAAAAAAATTATAACATATGAAATAGTTTTATAAGACAAAATTTAATATTTCTATAAAAAAAAAAAATTTGGATACAAAGGTACATTTTTCCATCTATATTAGAATATTTTTACAAAATTAAATAGAACTTGTACTGGAAGAAACTATGTGGTAGGAGGAGGACTATTATTTAAACTATCTTTATATACTATGATGGTATTATAAAATTACCAACCCATATTCACTAACCCATCCAAGTAAGGTTATGTATTCATTATCTTCTAACTTGTTTCCAATCACATCTTGCAACTAATAGAAAAACAATAACAGTGAAATGAAATTTGAAAATAATCATAAAAAATAATTTAAATACTTCATTAAGCATATATATTATAAGAAAAGTATCAATTGAAAAAATATGAAAGTCATTTAACAAAAAAATGTAAAAACTACACATTTAAAAAGACTTACATGCCTAGTAAGACAGTCGTGATACATTTTAACATATTCTTCAAAAATTTGATATTTTGGTGGAAAACAAGGTACACAAGCAGTCTATAAAAGAAATAAAAATAAAACTCAATCTTAAACATTTTCGAAATAATTCAATTTTGAACATCATTAATTAAAAATACAGTAGCAAATAAAAATGAAAATGAATTCTATTCTTTAAAATAGTTATAAGCTTATTGAGAAGAATGAATTCCAAAATTTAGATCAGATCCTGAAAAATTCTTTCAAAACAATTCATTTATTAATCAGTGGAAGTACCAAAAGATTAAAAAAATCATTGTTTCATAATTTCCTTTCTAAAACAGAAATAGGTTAAAGTCAAAATAAATGCTATATTTATGATTTAGAACATCATTAATTACATCATCAATTTTGAACATCATTAATTAAAAATACAGTAGCAAATAGAGATGAAAATAATTCTATCCTTTAAAATAGTTATAAGCTTAATTGGAAGAAGGAATTCCTAAATTTAGATCTGATCCTGAAAATTTCATTCAAAACGATTCATTTATTAATCAGTGGAGGTACCAAAAGATTAAAAAAATCATTATTTCATAATTTCCCTTCTAAAAAATATATAGGTTAAAATCAAAATAAATTTTATATTTATGATTTAGACATTAATGCTCAGAATATATAAATTAAAATTATCAAAAATAAAAATTAAAAGTAAAATAAAATGCTAATACTAAGAATTTGATATATTTTAAATTAAGGTAAACTTTCTATCATCACTGTTACAAATAAAAAGCTTAATTAGTTAAAATAAAAAATTTATTAATAGATTAACCAATTTTAAAAATAAAAAGAAATTTAAAAAAATTCGAAAATAATATTTTTATAAATCTTGAAACCACTTATAAATATCTCAAAAATTATGGAGTCATTAATCTCTGTAACACACTTGGATATTTCCGCAATAAAGGAATTTACTTTTAATCAGGATTACATTTTAAAAACCTATGTGATCCCAAATTCTCATCACATTTGTTCTTTAAAAAATTATTGAAACTTTAATATTTTATTTTTCTTTAATTTTCATAAATCAAATTACTCACATACAAAACAAAGGGATTTCCAAAAACACCTAAATCTATCCTAGTAGCTTACAAGACTATTAACAGTATCAATTGAAACGACCTCACACTAGAACATGAAATTACATTTGGATGATAGAGGACACAAATAATTTATTAGTTAAAAAACATATGACTTTTAATACTTCCTAATAATTCAGCGAACTTATGAATTGTAATCTCAATAAGGAACATTAAGATTCTAAATGTTAGTATCACTGTATTGGTGCGAATAAGTTTGGTTAGTAAATTTTAAATATTACTAGCATAAAACTATAAAACAATGCCAATATACTTTATAATGTAAAAAATAATGCAGAAAAATAAAAAAGCATACTTTAACAACTCTCAAATCCTCAACAAACATTTGCCTTGTAACTTCTAAATGAGTGACAAGCCACATTTTATTTCCAGATCTATCTTCAAATTGATTTCCTTCAATTCTACAGAGGAAATAAATAACAAATATGTAACAAATTCTAAATAAAATACAGATATATAAAAAACTGTATAAAAACATAAACCTCTCAGACTATCAGTTTGGATACTTAATTCAATTAACTAGATGCATTGCATATTTATAAAACCAAAAACAAACCACTGATTACAAATGTGAAGAATAAATTGAGGATCATTTAGATTTTAATAAAAGTTCACCTTTCTAACACAGATTGCTTTATAACTTCAAGTGCTTTGTTTCGCCATTGTTTGGGTCTTCCAATAGGCATATAGCCAGTCCTCTTGTGCAAATCCAATGCAACAGCATCTTCACTTTCTTCTCTTTCAATAATCCTAAGAGCACTAACAATGACTTTTGGCTCTTTGCGAACTGAGTTTAAGGTTCGGCATAAAACCAACCACAACTGCTTGCTTATTTCTTCTGAGAGTTTGTCAACATCCGAAAAATAGTGTTTCAGCATCTACAGAAATTTAATCAAGTTTATCATTAAGTATTAAAATGCAGCTACAAGCAGAACTTTTTCACTCGAGGAAGAACAAACAAAAAATGCAAAAATACAATAAGGAAATCAATGCCAATTTATACAGTTTGACTGAATTACGACTTATAGTTTCATTTTATTGTCAGCATGGTGCAGCTAACCTACATCAGATTTAAGACTACATTAGCGTTTAACTCAATAGTCTTGTAATTTTAACACATAAGGCATAAAAAATGCTCAATTGAGCACTTAAACAAAGTTTACACCATAAAAAATTTTTTTGATGAAATCACCCCACATTGCATAACATGTAGAAGAAAATCTACCATCATTAGTACAAATGCAAAGAGACATTAAACCATGATAACCCATCACTATGGATTTTCTTTCCATCACTGTGGTTAGTGTGAGTCAGAAAAAATTTGACCAGCTGTCACCAGGATTTCAACTTGATTCATCTCATTAGAAGGCCAGCGGTCTATCCTTTTAGTCATCCTGACCTCTACATTAGGACATTACCATTATGTTAATAAAAAAAAATTCATACCAAATTGCTTAATGTAGTTTATATACCCAAAAACACATTAACCTTGCACATAAACTTGGTAATGTTTTCAGGTATAAAAAGTAAACTTCATACACTTTAAATTTTGTATTGCTTTTTTACACAAAAGTTTTTTTTTTCGTATATTCAAACCAAATTTTTTTTTTTTTTTAAAGAAAAGAACAGATTTTTATACCAGTGGTTTTTAACTGATATTCAACAAAATTAGAGAAAATGTTTCACCAATCACTGAAAAAAAGAAACTAAATAAAAATTACTTTAAAAAAATCCTCTTATAAACTTACAATAACATAAGTTTGCTGCACATGATAATAAGAATTGGTACAATCATATGAAAAGATTAGTGAGGATATTTTGAGAACATGTAATTTCCTAGGTTTTAATACTGTATCAAAGCATGGAACTTTAATTTCAGCCTTACCCTAACAAGTATTTAAATATACATATTTGTGTACCCTAACAAGTATTTAACATATTTAAATTGTCAAATATTACTCTTAAACAGCTGTATGAAGCATATATTTTGAAACAGCTTTTCAAAAATATATTAAAATGTCACTTAGTATTCACTAAGCTCATCAATTATAAATTTGATACATAATTCAGAAATAAAGTATAAATCGAAATCAAAAATAGTAAAAAGTGAATAATGTTTACAACACAACATTTAAAAAACTTTTAAAATACTTTCTCATGGCGAATATTAAACATTACAAGATACAGAATCTGTTTTCTGTCGTCAACTTCCTATAACCAATAACCTATGACCTTTCAACTATAAAATCTATTAACAGAAGAATAAGTTTGGTTAAAAACAAATTTAAAAAGACGCAATGAAATACTTACATTTTGATCTGTTGGACTCTGATTTGCTAACTTGTGCATTTCATACAACAGATCATCTCTAGAATGTTCTAAAATTGCAAGGCTAAAATTTAAGAATATCATATTATAAAGAAATGTCAACTTCCCCATCTATATCAAAACAATATAGATCCTGTTGTAATTTAATAAAAATTTTGGCACATTTTTAATTTGAATAAAAAAAGGCAAATCAAACTATAAATTACACAAGAACAAAAATAAAACAGCACAGCAAGATATAATTTTATTAGTATTATTTGAATAAAAAAGAATATTACTGATAATAGTATTGATATGAAAATACATGCAATATGATTATTTTAATCACTGGATAACATCAGTAAACATTTGACATTTAATAACTCAAAACATAATAGTAAAATAAACCAAAAGGTAAATAAAATAATTGCTATTTAATAATTACATTTCAAAATAAATATTTTTCAATGAATTAAAATGATTAATAATTTTTAATGACATCATTCAAAATTTTTTTCTTTACCTTTGATGTGCTCCAAGTAGCTTTCCTTCATTGATTAAATCAAGAGCATCTTGTACACTTTTGGGTATATTAAGAATATGTTCTAAATTTTCTAATGCAGCGGAACACTAAAAGGAAACAAGAGACAAATGTAAACCATTAGTAAAACAACCCTTCATAAAAATGTCTTAATTCATAAATGGTTGGAAATATCAAATTTAAAATGCATAAATGTAGAATGTTGCACAACTGGGACAGACAGGCATAATTTGGCTAGATATAAAGAATTTGTATGTATGATGAAAATGATTTCAGTGTGCCGTATATATTGAGATGGATAGGAATATTCAGGTGGTGAGGAGTTTTGTATTCGTATAGTGGGCCAGTTGAAGAATACATGAAAACAGAAGATGATGAAAATAATACTTGAGCTGGATCAAATTAATAAAAGGCTTTTATTTATTAATAGTATTTGTAGAGCTCGAGATACAAAACTAAATATTATCCATAAATTTCAGTTGAATCAGTTTTGCATAGTAATATTAAAATAGGTCAGGCCATGGGAGACAAATCCCCCACAACCTGCCTAGTCAAAAGCCAAATTAAAAAGTACATGTAATTTGTTCCCGACGGACACAGAAGCAATGGTAGGAGATCCAAAATTGGCGATTTATTAAAATATAGCGTAGCCAAAACAAAGCCAACCAGCATAACAATATTGGGTTTAAATAATACCTTGGCGATCACGAGTCGCCAACAAATTTATGAGAATTATTACAACCATGCAACCGAAACATTTAGCCGTTGGAAAATTAGAATAAAAAGTTATAAATAGATTTTTGTTTTCGATTATAGGCGACAGTGAATATATAAGTCTGCATTAGTAATGAAATAAAAAAGTATCCGTTACATTGATCTAGAAAAGAAGAAATAAATATTTTATGTTTGTTTTAAAAAGATTAAGTTTGTGATTTATTTTAAATATAAATCTATTAATAAAAAATCAGCTTAAGTAATGAAAGATATTTTAAAAGATAGAAAATAAATATGTGTATGCCAATTGTGGCATCACAGTATGATTTAACAGTTAGAACTTAACTGCCTGTCTCAACACTTCAGTTAGAGAAGTAATATTTATAAAAGTCTAGTCCAGAGGCTCCCAAAGAACGTGCCAGAGCACTGAGACCAGAGACGCAGAAAGTTGTCTTTAACTTTGAATCAAAATATTGATCCTTTAATAGTTGCTATTTCAAAATAGAGTTTCAGATTTATGTAGGAAATGAGCTGGTTTTTCAGCTGATTTGCAGCTTTGCTTTATGGAACAGGCAACTTACAAATAAAATCCTGAATAGAAAATGTGAGTTAGCTATATCAAGATTTATTCCATTATTTAAAAAGTTATGTATTAAGTAGTAAGCTCACTCATTGCAATAAATGAAACTACAATTCTTTTGAATAAAAAGTAATTCTACTTATTTATTTTTATTTTCTTTTATATCATTAATACCTTTTATTAATTACAATTAAGGTACACAAGTAGATTTAAAGCATGAGTTACACTAAATATTTTCACCACTTATTTCCATAGCTTCATAGTATTATGCATATGAGACATAGATTATATTTTTAAAAAATTTATGCTGCAGACAAATAGTTTATGAATGGGAAGCTATGAGACAATCCTGAATTTTCTAAGGTTGACACAACTTATGAAAGTTAGAAAAGGAGCTGGAGCAGTCAAAGAAATAAAAATAATGGACCAAAAGTTTGCTGTTTTTTCCATGTGAATTACACCGTAGAATTGTCTAATATTAAAACTATAGTGCTTATGTGGGCAGCATTTGTGTTTTATGTGTTAAAATGCACCTTTAACACTAGAAAGACTGAAACTTAGTGACTATATTGCCTAAAAGTAGTCAAAATGACTGCATTGTGAAAGAATAACTAGTGAGTAAAGAAATTTGTTTAATTAATTATTAATATTTCTTATATTATTTACAGTTATATAACAAGTTATTAGTAAATATTAACAATAAAAAAGATTTAATTCACTTGGATAAAAAAAAATAATTCATGCATTATTATTTGTATATTTTTTGCAAAAGAAAAAGCAATCAAAATGACTTCCTCGGGTAATCTAGTGTTAAATATATTTTGATTAAAATATTTAAAAATTTTTTAGTTGGTTTAAATAATAAAATAATGCTTGCAAGTTTTTTGAATTTTACAAGAAAATAGTTACATTTCAAAGATCATAATTTGATTAGTTTCTAAAAAAAGTTCAGTATTCAATGAATATAGAATTTTATAGATTCTCATTTCATTAATTTTTCTTTAAAAAAAACTTAAGTTCTTGAGCTAATTAAAAACTGGTTATTTCTTTCGTATATTCATTAGTAGACTCTCCCAAACACCATTATAAAGTTTCAAAACTTACACAATTTTGACGAATTTAACAGGAGTGTAATAACAACCACAAATAATAAAAACGTTTTAAACGTCCCATAAAATGTTAATAGATTATCTCATGAAAAACTGTGTTACTTTAGTAAGTAACATTATTTATTAAGAATATTTTTTTTAATTTTTTTATAAAATACAGTATTTATATTTAATTAAAAATAAATAAATCATTAAAGCCAGATATTGTCATTAAACAGAGACAACATCTTTTCAGACAATTTCTTGCATTCCATAAATAAACTATTAATCAATTAATTGAATTATGCACAATAAATTCAAAGACTAGAAAAGCTAATTTAAAAAAATAACCCTATTCTTATAATCCTAGTATTCATTTGTCAAATCTCATATTATAGATATAATAGGCTATATGTTTAAATTTTTAACAAATGTATTATTCATTGACACCTCATAATCAAATATTAAAGCAAAATGTACTAAAATTGAAATATTATATATATTAATACCTGTCCATGCTCCTTGCTTTCAAGTTTGAGTGCATAAAGGTTATCAACTAAAGACGGAACCAGTTTTAGAGTCTCTTGTATTTCTTGCATGCTGTTAAAAGATAATCTCTAAATTACTCAAGCACAGTAATATATATATATATATATATAACATAAAAAGCTTTTATTAATCTTTTTATGTTAGTTTCTTTGCTATAAAACAACTCCTACTTTATTCCTAATTAATTATTCTATTCCAAATTCTTTCTCACACTTTTAAAAGCCACATCCTGTTCTTAAATCTATTTTTGGCTCAACTATGCATTTAATTAAGAGCAGGACATATCTCCCTATGCTCTGTGTGGGAAACGCTAGATTTCTTTCATAAACCAATAGTAATCCTTATCACTTCCCTTTTCCCCTCAAATATAACAAAATAGAGGGAAATTCCTTTGCTACTTTCCCTAAGATAAAAACTTAAGCACACAGTTTTTGAG